CCGAAACTGAATATTTTCCTGAAAATGCTGCTCCACAGCAACAGCCTTTTCCAAAGGTGATCTGGAACAGGCAGGCACTCCTGCCTGCGCTCTGCAGAAAACAGTGGTTTAGCAGAAAAAGAATTGAATGACAATCAGCAGAAGTGAGTTTTTGTCCCTGTTATACCACACGTTAGCGGTGCAGAACTTCCAGGAATAAATGCATGGACCAGTGTTCATGGTCATCACAAGCCCAAAACCACAACACTCAGAAAATTCAGTGCTCTGACTTGGAAACTACTGAAGGCATTTTATACGCAGGGTGTACCCTTGTAAGGGTTTGCTTTTGCGAGATAAGACTTCCATCAGCTGCAAGTCGGGAGGGAACCAAAACCAAGCCAGCAGCTTCATGAGCTGACTTTATCACTTCGGGACAGGAGTCCAGCTACTAGAAGCTTTGGCGTGGAGCAGGGGGTGTCAAACTCATGTGCACCTGGGGCCACGTCAGCCCTGTGGTTGTCTTCAAAGGGCCGAATGTAATTTCAACTCCTTAACAGTTAAGGAGTAGTTACATTTATACTATCCTAAAATTACATTCAGTCCTTTGAAGGCAACCACGAAGCTGATGTGGCCCCGGGTGAACATGAGTTTGACACTCCTGTAGAGCAAGCCTGCAGGGGATTCACCCAACATCGCACTGTGCTGTTACTCTTTCTCTGAACATTCCATGTTAGAAATGTCCACCGCTGGGGAGAGCCGTGTGGTTTCGATGGATACAGCACAGAGCAGAATGTTAGGAGGCTGGACCTCTCTTCCCAGCTGCATCCCCACCAGCGTGCTGGGGCCACAGGTCCACCTGCCTCCTTGGTACAAGAGGAGCAGCGGCAGGGCCCTCTCACTGCCCACCCCCCACCCTGCCCAGCGCAAACATCTCAGGCTGCTGCGTTGCTCCTGAGCAAGTGTGGGGTCAGGGCGGGGCAGAGAAGAGACCAAAGAGGCTTGGAACCATTCAGATGTTACGCAAGTGAAAACTGTGAGATGAGACGACCATGCAAATTTAAACTAGGAGTTTGAGGCCTTGCCAAACCTACCTCTCTATTTTATTTTGCACTAAATTTCCACCTGAACGTTAAGCCTTTGCCAATCTGAGAGGTTTGCCTACCTTTGCCCGCTAGCTGTCCCCGGTCTCCTTTCTCCCCGTGCTCTTTCTTTACTTTAATTCCCCTTTCTATGCATTTCTGCTTAAAACTTCACCTGCCTTTTAAGGTTCAGCCAGCACTTCATTGCAAGTAGGCATGGGTGAGTTTTTCAGAGCACAGTGCAGTTAAGGTAATATGCAGTATTACTCCAAAGCCCTTCTGTTGCTGGGTAACCAGGTGCTGGATACACCTTCCACAATACCTCAAGGTCAATGTACTTCTCTAGCAGAAAGAGGTGGCCTTTGCCAGGTGTAGTCTGCATGTGTCCCCGTGAGAAAGGTGAAGCGTGTAAGAAAAGGGCCTGCGTGTCAACACTGCTGGAGCAGAACTGGTTTCTCTGAGCAGCAGGGGACACTGGGGGCCGAGGGATGGAACGGGAGCAGTGCCAAAACACCAGTCTGAAAAAAACATCAAAATAAAAACAACCCGATTATCACCAAAACTCTAGCCCTCAGGACGGCTGGGAATCTCCAGAGATTCACTTGCCTTGTTGAGTGTACAATGCACCCCAGTGTTCACCAGGCCACAAGCTAAGACGTCGAAGAAATCTTGCCGACAAGGTCTCAGCCAGGCAGAGAGACTTCTGGGAGGGGGAACAGTGGGGGGGGCGGGCAGGCTGGGTCTGCTTCTGTCTCCACCAGCTGCGTTAACCTGAGCTAGTCATCTAGTTCTGATGATATCAAATTTCTTATCTGCACAGTAAGGAAGCTGGAGTGAATATTCCAGGTGACCTTGTAATGTTAAAGTACCTTCTAAATTAAATAGGACAATATTTAAATTGGCCTTTAATATGAAAACAATGTAAACAGACTTGTTGATTTAGCTACAGAAAGCTATGGGCCCAGAGCTCAGGAGGGGAAAGAAGGGAGGAAGGGAGAGACCCTTCTTGTAATCCAGTCCCTAAGAGATTGAGGCAAACCATGGCTGTTGTTTAATAATAGTTACAAGTTTAGTTGGATCTTTTCTATCAAGTAGAGTGGACTAAAGGGTCTATTGGAAAAAGCCCTGTTTAAAAATCCATGTATTCACAAAAATTTTACAACTTTGCAGAACTGAGTATGTCCACAGATGTCTGTTAGCTGATTAGGGCCTGAGAAACCTGGGAGACCCAGATAGACCTGATGGCCGTGGCTATCAAATGATGCATTAGAACATTCTTGGTGGTTGTTAGGGTTACACACTGTGGAATTTTGGCTTCCTTACCTTGAAGTTTGAAAGTAGCTTAGACACCTGAGGATGTATACAGAGAGAAAAGAAGTATGGGTGAGGAACTTCAGAAGTGCTTTACTTTCTGTGAGGCAAGGAGAAAACTGAATTTAAAAGAGTCTTTGTTGCAAAACCCAAATCAAACCAAACCACCCTCCTAAGCCCAAGCAGCAGTGAGGTGGTGACCAGAGGGAGAGGGGAGCGGGGGAGGATAGATGGTGGGGGGAAGGAGACCTGACCTGGGGTGGTGAGCACGCCACACAACACACAGATGGTGTATATAGAATCGTACACCTGAAATCTATATAATTTTATTCACCAATGTCACTCAATAAATTCCATTAAAAAAAAGAGTGTCTTTGTGTTCATTTTACTGAGGAAACAGGACTGTATCTGGGAGATGGAGTGAGAGGGCATGGAGCAGAGAGAGTTTCCCCCATTACGTGAAACGCTGCACAGATGGGAGCTGCCTGGGACGGGTTTGTCTTCGTGGTGTGGTCTGTGTTCCACTCTGTCACCTCATTCTCGATGCCTTCTTCCCCTTCTGTTTTGTACAGGTCTGGCCACCCCAGAAATTCATCCTAATACTTTGAGAGTAACAGAACAATCCGTTATTAGAAGTCAGTCCGTTACTAGAAGTCAGTCTGTTACTAGAAGTCAGTCCGTCACAAGACAAGGGCAAACAGGTTTGTCCATATTTTCAAATAGTCACCCTGGAGTTACTGCTACGCTGCCACTACTCAGTGGGATCTGTCACTGCTAGGAAACTGTGACAAACTCTAAGAAACAGAGGCTAGTAAGTAGACACAGTCTCTATGCCTCCGAGTCGTTCTCACTTCTGAAATATCTCACAGAAACAACACTGTAAGGTAAAGAAATTCAAGCAATTTAGCAAAGTGCCAAAGGGATGAAAGTGACCGTGGAAAGGTGCACTGCAGACAGTGAGCCCCCAGCGCAGGCGGAGGAGGGCTTGTGGTGAATCTGGGGGGGGGGGTCAGCTCTCCCAGCTGCTGGCCCTGAGGAATCTCCTCAATGGGCCTTTGTCCCCTTCCTTATTAAATGGGGCCCATAATGCTTAGCTCACAGTATTCCTCTGAAGAGGGAGACGACCTGTGTCAAACTGCTTAGCTCCGAGCCTGACACACCGGAAATACCTAATTACCGGGAACTTTAAACCCAGCTGGGTGCTGAGACAAGGGTGTCAGGCAGCATCCACTCTCCGGTTATTTCCCAGGGGAGAAGACGACTTTTCAGGGGCAGTTTGGGCGCAGGAAGGAAGAGGGTCTTCAAGGGCAGGGTTGCAGCAGGATACTCCAGACTTAAAGCCTCACAGAAGACTGGGAGTGGCTGCGGGACCCTTTAACTAATAGAAACATCGAGACAGTGTACTGAGATATATGGAAGTGGCAAATGTTAACAGAGAAGAAAATTAAGCTCAGTGCTTGGAATGAATTATGAGGCTCCAGTGAAACAATCAGATTTTCTAAATGAGTTCAACAGGAAGTCAGCACAGTGGTGTCAAACCAGAAAGCATTTAAGTGGCAACACAGACACACACAGACACACACACACACGGCACCCCAGACCATGAGCCCCACAAATAACAGCTAGGCATGGGGGGCTGTGGTGCTGAGAGTTTTCAGGCAGTACCTGATTGGATCCTCATAGGAACCTCGGAGAGAGAGGTATTATCGTCTTCATTTGCTCAGGAGAAGCCTGAAGTACGAAGGAGTTAAATGACTTGTCCAAGGTCGCCCAACCAGTAAGGGGCCGAAATCCCGTTCGTTCTGTGCCAGGACTCCACACACCACTGACCGGTGTCAGCTGTCACAAAGAAAGAGAAGACAAGCCCCCGTTAACCTTCATAGATAACTGCTGCAGAACGACCTCACCTAACCGAGTCCTTGACCATGGGGCATGGAAGAGTGCAACATGCTATTTGTAACAATTAAGTTCCAGAATGTTGCAGGCAGGGCAGCAGCAATGAAAGGGCTTCGTAACATCAAACAGCATTTGGAGACAGCAGAGCAAAGAAATGGGAAATGTGGGCTGGTCAGGGAGAGGTTAATCCTGGTGAAGCATTAAGACGGGAAGTACTGGGAACTTACGCAGACAGAGAATTTAGGGTTTAGGGGGACGGTCGACAAGACAGCAGATGAGACCCAGTAAGAGTCTGGATTCAGCTGGTGGCTGCAGCCCAGATCTGGAAAAGCTGATGGTGGTGAGACCAGTTTCTGGGCTGCGCTGGGTGCAGCCGTGTTGGGCGATGGCGCAATGTCTCCTTTCTGATCACCATCTTTACATTAATTTTTTTTAATTTTTAAAATTATTTTTACATTTTTTAAAATGCACTTCTGTTTCTTATGGAAACTAATAGGCATTCTTTCACTATTTTCTCACGCCCTGCCCTTTAGTCCATGAGATGCTTTCCTGATTTTGACCCGTGAAAGCTCATCGGGTGGTTGAAAGTAGGTGTGGGACGTGCTACTGATGGGAACCGTGTCTCAGGGGTGTCACCAGCTGCTGAGACTTGAACAACAGCTCCCTAGACGCAGTTAAGGAAAAGAAACCCACTAAACCACCTAATTCCAACGTGGTATTTTCTTAGAGATGCCAGCTTATACATTCTGACTTATTTTGACATTTTGTCTTTTTAGGGGCAAGAGACCAAATGGAGCACGTTTTCTCAGAAGCAGGTATGTCACTTTTTACACGGGCTGACCTTCCCTCCATTGCCTGAGAAAAGAAGTGTCGATGTTAAAAACAAAAGAGGATGTTATTAACTTGAATCACTCAAAATTGTAAAGGCAAACAAAATATGCTGTTTTTAAAATTAAAAATAGGCGTTTCTTTTTTTATTTTTTTACTCCCTCACCAGAGGATTTTTTTTCCCCCTTTAAACTGATCTTAGAGAAGAAGGAAGAGAGAGGGAGAGAAACAGCGGTGTGAGAAATGCTGATGGGTCGCCTCCCGCACACGCCCGGACCGGGGAGAGAATGGCAGCCTTTTGCTGCGTGGACGACACTCCAACCCACTGAGCTCCCCGGCCAAGGCTCTTATTCTCCTGAACCCTTTGGAAATAGCAATACATAACTTCACAATAATTTTTCTCTTAGGGTGGATGGTTTGGCTTTCTAACCACCATGGTTACTAGAGAAAAATCTCTTAAGAGCTTATAAAACAATTGAACTTCTCTCCCCCCTCTTGTGAAGAAAGCAGAGTTTCACATCATCTCATTAACTGGCCCCACATCAAGAATACACACAAGCCATTCGTGTGTCAGTCCCGATTCACCCTGGGCCCTACGGTAGCCCATCTGCCAGACTTGGGGGCTGTCTGCCAAACCCTCCCTAACTGGACATTGTCGCTTCCCACCTTGGGGGCTGCTGTGGCTCTGGCTTCAGCCGTGAACGTGCTTGTTTACTGTTCTGCATTTCTAAGCTTCCCTTTGCACTTGGCCTATGTCCAATCTTCACACAAGAAAAAGAAAATGGATTGTGGAACTGAATCACTACGTCATAAATGAAAGCTAAGTGGGCAGGAAGGCTGGGCAATACCAGTGGGGGGGGGTCACTTTTACTAATTTTTAATCAGTCATGAGACTTTTAAGTATAAATTAGCCAAATAAATAAGCCATGTGACCTGTATGTTTTGCCTTCTATGTGCTTCATTTGGAGCTGCTACAAATACAAGTTCCAACAGAATCACACCCTTTTTCAATGCAAAATCTTTCATTACAAAATCATAAGCATGTCATCCTGTAACCTAACAATATCACACTCAAGCACAGCATAGGACCCTTAGAGTTCAAAATAGAGCTACAAATTATTACACTGTACTATTACCCTACCAAGCACACTCACGCAGGCATTACTTCTGCCGAACCCTGTGTACTCTGAATATATGAGTATTGCTGACTTAAACTTTGTTTCCAAGTAAACCTAGTAAGAGATGTGAACATATATTTTTAGTGACTATATTATAAACTGTGCATAAGGATCATGTAGAAGGAAAAGAAGCTTAGAATGCAGGTGTCTTGAGTTGCTTCTCCCTAGTTGTCTCACCTAGGGTAACTGAAGCTCACGAGACTTCTCTTCCTCATTCGCAAACTGCTTTTCCCTCTGACAGTTCCGATCCTGATTCTGTGATCTGCGCCGCACCCCTCTCTATGCTGAGACATCATTTTCTCCTGTCACCTTGAAACTATGAAACACTTTATGGTTCTCCCCAGGTTGGGGCAGCATATGCTCATGGCTGCTAGCCATGCGCATCCGTGACGCCTGGGAGACCCCCCAAAGATGCTGGGTCTGGAGCCGGAACCCTCGGGTTGTGCTTCTGCCAGATGTGTGACCTTGAACAGAAGACTTTACTATTCAAAGGCTCAGTTTCTCACATGGTTACTTACTATAAAAACCCTAACTTTTGAAAAGACAAAATATGCTTCATATTCTTTCTATAAGCAGGCAAAGTGATGTGACCCGGATTTCATGTGTCCTATTTTTCAGCTGCTGTGTGTCATTCCATGTCACAGTTTGTCACTGTCTGCTCTCTCTTCCCCTGCAGTGATCATAGTCATTATCTTTGGGGTGATGGCTACTATCATCCTGGTCGTACTGCTCCTTGCTCATGGCATCCGCAAACTGAGGGAGGTGAGCATTCACTTTTTAATTTTGCTGTAAATACTGGGGTGAACATCACTAGGTGGGTTTACTCCTCTGGGTTCAATTAAAGTCACAGAGAAACTAAATGGCATAAAAAATCTGTATTTTTCAAGTGGACACAGAAAAGGTACTTGAGTTACTCTGGTAAAAAAAAATTATGTTGCATTTGCCCTATAACCCCCCGAAAAGTCCACCCGCCCTTTGCCAATGAAAGAGCCTCCACAGTTTTTGTCTAACTTGATGTAACATATTTTGATGGCTATCGATGAAATAATGACATCTGTAATTATAGTATTTATATAATTCGAGTATGAAAAATATTTAAAATAACATGACAGATTTATATATGTTTAAGACATTTGCTTTTTTCCATTCTCATATTTTATTTCCTGAAACAAATTTTTCAGACTTCCACACACAAATTTTCAGGCATGAGTGAATTTTTTAATCACTTAAGCAAAGTTTAAGTCCATCTGACACAGCATTTACCACTTTTTAAAAAACTGTTCATTTTAGCTTTTTCCTATAACGACAGGGTCGATGTCTGCGGTGCGTTCACTTATGGAAACGACCGATATCACATAGAAGTACAAATTCAACTTTGTACCGAAGTTTGTAATATCTTTGAAATAATAACTAAAAAAACCTCTACAAAGTGAATTTTAACCAAAAGGGGACAACTTTAGCCAACAATATTTTTCATCTGAGATCTTTTTCTTGATAGGGACTTAGTTTTATAAAATTGCAACGTTAATATTTTTCTGCTTTTTACTTGTAGAGAAGTGCTGTTACCATACAAACTGAGTTCCCACAAAACGCAGAGGAGCCTTTAAGCTCCGTAGAAACAGGAAATCCAGGTCAGTGTCACTGTTCTGATTGCCTGGTGCCTCTTGGGAAGGGTCATAGCTAACGAGTTACCTCTTTCTGATTTGGGAGGGGTGTGCCCAGGTAGGATGCATTTGCGTTCTATTTCATCAGTGCTGCTTCTGTAACATTTTCTTTCATTGTGGACATTTGTCTGCAGCAGAATGAAACTCTCTCTTAGGCATAAAGCACCTTTTAATAAAAACTTCACAAACGCTGTGAGTCAAGCAAAGATGAAGCTCCGTTGTGTACTCCTTTTCCACGCTGTAGAGTTCTATAAAGGAGACGCTGCAGTGGGTGTGGTCTAAGGTCCCCAGATCCGCACCGGTCGGGGACTTCAACCCACACTCCAGCGCTAGCAGCCTGCAGCAAGCTGCTCACACGGAGATAACGGTGTGAATACTTGGAGGTGACCCGGTAGGGCGCAGGGTTAAAGCCGACCTAACAGAGCCTCACGAGGATGAAATGAGCCACAAGCAAAGCACCTAGAGCAGCTCTGGGCCGCAGTAGTTGCTTCCCGCCTGTCTAGTGCGCAGGCTCCGGCCCCAGAGAACCTCCCCCGAGCAACAAGCCAGTCGTTTGGGCTCCTGTTTTCATTTTCGCTCCCAGCTGCTAAGGAAATACGCCTCACATGGAGAACTCTGGGTATATTTCCTTCATCTAGAACAGCATTGGGCCATGAAATGTTTTCCAAAAAAAAGTGTTTACTGCCAGCCTCAAAAAGTGGGAGATTTTACATTAAAAAAAAAATCCAGATGTTGGTATCCTTTACAGAAAAAAAAAAAAATGTAAACTTGAAACATGCTGGAGACTCCCTACCAGCATGAGAGCAATGCACAAGAGCTGAAAAGTGGCTGCCGCCATGAATATTGATGTGAATACCTAGTCGGTTTTATTTATTTCATTCATTATGGCCTCTTAGATAACCTCACCAACTTAGTACCTGGTTCCTGTTAACCTTTGCCTGAAACATAAACCCAAGGGACTATTAGAAGAGGTGTCTACCAAGAACCAGTCTCTGTGAATGGGCTTCAATGCTCAGGCGAAAGGATCCGACTCTGCCTCCTGCAACATCGTGGCGGATCAGGGCGTGGTGGTGGTGGGGGGGGACGACAGGTTTTCCCATGGTCACCACCCATCAGGACAGAACCAAGGTCCTGCAAGTGTCCAGATTCCAGTTTTAACCCTGAACCATGTTCCTACCTTCAAAGGACTTGCTAGGCTTTCTAGACTTTAGGAATCAAAAATAGAGATTTAAAGAGCTACATTAAAGCTCTTACCAAAGCTACATTACTTCTAGGTAGGCGTCACGTCATCACGGGTGTTCTTAAAGCTGCAGGACTGGGTCGTAGGAAGTTCACGCTCTGTAGAGTGAGGGGCATGTACACAATTCTCAGCTATAAGGATAATTAAAATCCTATCTGCAGATACTTAACATAAGTTCTGAGTCATGTGCCGGATTCATTTCATTTACTGAGATTACCTTGTTACAGGACTTGGAGCTGGAACAAATATCTGTGAAATATCTATTTACTTCTGCATTGTTTCAAAAATTAAAAAAAAAAAGTTTTCACACTTTTAAAAATGGAGCACTTACCACCCAAAGCCTCATTTTTTGTTACTTAAATTTTTATATATCCCTTCCACTACTTATTATTCTGGTGACAAAGTTGATGTGTATCATTTCCTCTATTTTTTTCCCCATACAATCTTGAGTCCCTCTGTGGACTAGCCCACAATAGTTTGGGACAATTTAATCCCCCAAAGTATATCAAAATATCCTTCTAAGGTTAAGTGCAACAAACATTTATCAAATGCTGGCTGTGTGTGGGCACTGTACTCACGTTAGACGCATCCGCACGAGACTCTGCCCTTTAGAGACCAGTGGGAAAACAGATGGAATGTGTCCGTGTCCTTTGCAGTGACGAGTTTGAAGGTAGCAGAGGCGACAGCATCTGAAAGAAACTGGGGCAGGTAGCAAAGTCTTCTGGAGAGGAAATCACCTGGGGCCTGTCTTAAAAAAAGAAATGGATGTTCTCAGGACAAGGCAGTTGGGCAGCATGAGCAAAGATATGGAAGACACCAAAACGTGGTGTATCCAAGGAATCATGGGCATTTCCCCCTTCACAAGGTTACTGCTTCGGTTCTCTACTCCTGTCTCAAAAATAGGTGAAGTCAGTGGAAATTCAGATGAACCAAATTTTAGGCTCATTCACTTCCCCGTACTTGTGCAAATGAAGTTAATCAAATATGTCTTAGTAAGTTAGTGAAACAGGTTCTAAAATCGGATCCCACCTCACAGGAAACATTAGAAAATATATAAGGTTATTTAAAAATGGTTTAGTCTCACTCTTAGAGAATACGTCTTTAAAGTAATTTATAGACCAAAGGCAGGAAGAGAGGGGAGTGATCATGCCATCTCACCCATAACTAGTGGTGGTGAAGTACAAAGTATGAATGGCTCTCACCTCCTTGAACTTGTGCTTGGTTTATGCTTGCTGGGAAATGAGAATAAAGGAATCTGAGTCAGCTGCCGGTGGCCACATGTGACTCCACCAGTCCATTTTCCACTGGATAATGCTTGGGATGCACAGTCCTTTGATAACCCCAAGAGAAGAAACCTGTGGGAAACGCCCCGCTTCCACAAGAGCAAAGGCTCCCACCTCCCCTCTCACGCACTCTCTGGGAGTAACATCTACCCAGGCTTCCAACCAAGAAAGATTTGATGTAGACCAGCCCAGTGCCTTTCTTCCACATGCTAGAATGAGAGAGGAATTCGGCAGTGAGTTCTGGACAGATTCCTTGTTTTTATGTCCAAGAAAGTTATTTCCAGGAGAGGAGGTTACAGGCGAGGGAGCTCACCTTAACTTTTGCTTGAACTTATGTAATTCAACTCACTTATCACTCACTGCTTTCCCAGTGTATTCTGCCCCTACACAAGTTCGCTGTTAGTTTATCATCTCTTTAGAAACTGGGGGCAGGGTGATTCTGTTTGTTCCTTACCAAAAGCTTGCAGAATAGATTTCCTAGGAAATTCTGTATCTTTTCACATAACTCTAGCAAAGTTAGTCCGAAAGCAAATTCCTTTCATTTCCTAACAATTGTATGTAAGACAAACACTGTAAGAAGCTAAAATTCTGAAATTTATTTTATGCGTTTTTCTGTTGTATTTAAATATAGCAATGCCTCATACTATTGTTTATATTTTTTCTCTGTTGTCCTTCCACAGAACAATAATGAATGATACATTGCTCACCATGCCAAACTTTGAAAGAACTAGAAGACAAGAAACTTCAGTCAAGTGAAAAATTAATGTGTAAATTGAACACGTTAATAAATTGTAGACACCCTTAGATTGTTCAATTTCAGGAAGAAAATTTCATCCTGAAGAGTCCAGTGACTCAGTGATGGAAAAAAGCCTCTAGTCATTAATATTTCAAAAAGAAGAACAAGTATTTTCTTTCATGCCTGCTTCTGTGTGTTAGCTTAATGTTTCCAGGTCACGGGTTCAGAGTTCTGATCCAAAGGCTTGTGATTCACAAATGAAATCTAAATTCTCTTCTCATCCTAAACTTCTGAGTCTATTTTCATTTCTTTAAACAAATGAAATCCTATCATTTCCTTCATTTCTGAATAGATAAGATATGGTAATACACTAGTGAGGATGATATTCTTAGTCACAATAATAAAGTGTGTTATTGGAAATGCTCTGCATATGTACACACATGCATACATGTAAGTACACATTTGTACATGTGCATAGACACAGATATAGACATAGATGTATAAAATGACACTTGCATTCACCCTCTCATGCATAAATCAATACAAAATTTTTTTCCATTAAAAAGAAGTAAAATGGCCCTGGCTGGTGTGGCTCAGTGGATTGAGTGCTGGCCTGTGAACCAAAGGGTCGCTGGTTCGATTCCCAGTCAGGGCACGTGCCTGGGTTGTGGGCCAGGTCCCCAGTGGGGGGGTGCATGAAAGGCAAGGACACATTGATGTTTCTCTCTCTTTCTCCCTCCCTTTCCCTCTCTAAAAATAAATAAATAAATTTTAAAAAAAGAAGCAAGATGTTAAATGGCTCATTTAAACGCATCTGACATTATGGCATCGTGTTCTCCAGGCTGCTGACTGATGCATCTGTTGTGTTCCCCTAGAAGAGTAATTCATGCAAATGGCTAGAGAACCCTGAGAGACAGGAAGAACGATGTTTTCTTGCTAACCCCCCCCCCCCCAGTAACTCTGTAAATGCAACAAGAGGTGCCGGCTGGACGTGTGGGTGAATATTTGAACAGGTCTCCATTACGCTGTTTTCTAATGTTCTCAGTCAATTGCTTTAATCCGTCCAGTCCTAGACTTCCTCACTAGTAAAGCTTTGGAAGTTGGTTTGAATACTCTAAGAGACACTTCTAGCTGTGAGCCTAAGGCTCTGTGCTCTGCCGCTCACTCATCGGCTGTGAAACGTAAAAAGCGGTGTAAAAACAGAGCCGCGCCTTCCTGTGTCACTCTCTCTTCTTACTGATAAAAGCCCACACAGCTCTTCCTTGTTGGACGATAATTAAGTGAATAATATCATGTTCTCGTCTGGGCCTGGCAACTGAAATTCATTTTTTAATGAATTAAAAAATCCGAATCTTACTCACTTGTCTGTTCAGAGAGTGTTTTTATACTATGGGGGCTGCGTAAAATAAAGGCTTAACACAACACGTTGCTGTTGGCATGTATCTTTAAAGCAGTCTTAACAGCGTGACTGGGTTAATGTCATCACACAGCTGACCCGAGCACCGAGACAACACACTTTTTAAAAATGTACTTATTTCAATAAAAATAAAGTGTTGGGTCCAGAGAAAACGGCAGACTCACCTTGTCGCTGAAGTTATTTACAAGCTGAAACCGAGGGAGCGGAGTGAGCGGAGTGACGGTGCCCTCGGGACCAGCGCCCGAGAAGAATAAGGCAGGAGTTTCTGTGACCCCTGGACCTTTTCCCATCAGTTTCCCTGTTTCTATCTGTGGACTTGTCACATTTGAATGTAAAGTTTGTGGGAAGAAATGACCTTTCCTCTCTTCATATTTTTAAAACTAAATCAGCATAAGATGATAGTAAAGAAATCCAACCTACGAAGCTGACATGCTCATGCTGAATTTCTTAAAACTTGAGACTGGAGTAGGGGATAGGAGTGAAGCTGATGAGAAACGCTTATTCTTCGGGCCTGGGCATTTGCTTGTGTAGGTGTGAGCCAAAGATCTAAAGCAGGGAGAAAGGTGAGAGACACCAGGAAGGGAGGCTACGGGATGGCAGAGGAAAGGGCTATTTTAGTGGTACTAACACGTAGGGATTAAGTAAGAGCCTTGTTTATTCTACGTATTTATCTCACCCATGCACACGCCTGCACCGTGGGTACTGACCAACAGTGCCCGAATAGCAGGAGGGTCTGCCCAGCTTTGGACAGAGAAGCAGGAACCAGTTCCATGGAATACATTTTAAGGAACCCAGGAACGTAAGGAAAGTTATTTTTCCTTGTAGCCTGTTGAGTCTTGTTGACTTAACATAAAACCATTACACTGTTAGCACTATCGATGCCGCAAAATCGTCTCTTAATGAAAATAGGTAAGGTGTCCTCACAGTGCAGGGCAGGCTTGAGTGAGGCACGAAAGAACAACCTAAGACGGCTTCGGCCTCCCGGGCCTCCCATCTCCTCTGGCCCCGTGGGACTCTGGGTACTTGTCACAATCGTCAGCCTTGACAGAGCCCGAAGGCTACAGAAGACACAAGCAAAAACCAAAAACCATGTCAAAGAGTCACATGCCAGCACTTTGAGGCAAGGAAGTACAGTGAGAGAAAAATCAGCTGGAATTCTATTGACTTTTCTGTTTTTAGAACCTTCCGAAACACAATGTCAAGTGCATGGAAAACAACGAACACTTCTGCACCCTGGGCTGGAGCCTTCCCAGTTCTGGCCCATCTGATTCTCTCTTCGCCGTGAGCCAATGTCTGATGTGTTTCTGTGAAACTCCTCAAACCTCGAAGTTCCCCAAGCCTGTACCCCATGTGGTTACTCCTAATCCTCAGAACTGTCATGAGATGAAACCCAGTGTTATCTGGTTTACAATACAGTGGAAGCAGCTGCAGCAGCAGCAGCAGCAGCAGCAGCAGCGAGGGTGCCACCATTGGTCTTGGGACCTTCTGTTTCCACGTACTGGTAAGGGAAAACTTAAGTCACACCAGAATACCACTTCTGGTAGTAGGCACTGACAGTTTCCCATTTCTTTAGGATAAGCCACCTCTTTATTAAAAAAGACCTTCAGAGATCAATGCCATTACTGTTTTAATGACTTGTTTAGTATTTTATAATCTTATTAGGAAATTCCAGGAAAACTCTATATTCAGCCCTGATATATTGGCTGCTCTTGACAGAATCTGGAAAATGTCTCCTTTAGGCCTTTGATTTTTTTCTTTCTTCTGAAACATTTGCAAACACAGCTTTGCTTGAAAAAAAGAAAAGAAAGAGGGAAAGAGAAAGAGAGAAAGAGGTAGAAAGGAAGGGAGGAAGAAAGGATGGAAGGGAGAAAGGAAGGAAGGGAGGGAGGGAGGGAGGGTTAAATGCCAAACTCAGGAACACTCTTTAGCTGGTTTGACTTTTCCCTTCCAGTCACCATGACACCAGACTTACAAGTTCCCTTTCGGGTCAGTGACCTGTGGCTGTGCAGTAGTGGTCTCCGTTTGGAATTCAGGCAACTTCCACTTGCAACACTGAGGTGTTCCTATCCCAGGAGCAGAGGGGTATGTTCCCAAGGACAACCCAGAATGTAAGGAACGTGGCTCCTTGGCTTCTTCCCCCTCCCTGACCGACAGGTTCAAAGACCAAAAGACTCTTGGTCTTTTCATTAACCATGTGCTTAGGGTCACACACTGCCTTAGGGAGAGACAGGGAGTGACAAACGGAGTATTTTACTGCTACCTGGTCAATGAGATGTGTTGAGGCCAGTTTCATGAAATGTATTGAATGGTAATTCTAGGAAATAAAAGTTTAAACTTTAGTCCCGGGGAAATGGATTACTACTTTTTAATAATACTGGGGCTTAAAAGCTGATACTTAACACCTTACATCATCTAGGATAGGGCACAGCCAGAGACTCAAGTTAGGAAAATTGACAATGTGGATATTGGTGCTCAGTCGGCCACAGACCTCGAGGCACTTCCTCCAGTGACCCAGCCAGGGTTTGACGGTTTCGGGGGTCCTCTGCTGCCCGCGTCACATTTTAACAACAGCCCCTAACTTCCCCGCCTCACACCATGTGTACTTTGTAAACTTCTTGGAAGCAGACTTTTCTTCTAAAGCAGTAACTGGGATAAAGTGTGGAGCCATACAACTTATATATCAAGGAAGAATGTGAACAGTGTTTGGGAAAAGCGGTGTGTGTGGGGTGTCCACCCTCTCCTCGTCTGGGGGCTGAACCTTCAAATGCACAAGAGCCAACCACCCCTGAGTTCCTCACTCCATCTCAAGACACAGGTGCTGATAAAGATGGGAGCACTGATATTCAACATGTCACCCTGAAATGTCCTAGAACCGCCATCGTCACGCCCGAATTGTTCCCAGGTGGCAGGCTCATGAGCAAACAGGACTAACCAGAAACTGTAGGTCTGGATCTTCAAAGCAGCACCAGGCATTTATTATGGAGGGAGGAGGCACGTTTGGTGTGTCATTGTGACTTAAATGCTACTATAGCAGGTCCTCAAATAATGTTTGTTGTAACGCTGTTGGGATGCTTTAGGGACTTTATCAGGTGAAGTCTGTTTCATTGTAAGTTGCAGAACCTACCTACAACATTGAGGACTTATAAATTCACCAGAGGAACCCCTGGTAAGCTATCTCCATATCCACAATTCAAGATAGACATTTTCTCTGAAATACTACCGAATTATCTTCATCTGCACTAAAAAAAAAAAAAAACCCCCAAAAAACCCAGGCTGAGGTCTCATTAATCTGAAAATATGCTCAACAGCTATTTGGCATTGGCAAAATGTTTTAAAACACTGCTTTTCGCTTTTTTCCCCCTTGGAGGGGGTGCGTATGAATCACGAGGACCTTACTGAGATGCAGATTCTAAGTCTTGAGGACTTCAATTCTGCAATTCTGAACAAGCTCCCAGGTGGAGGTCTTAGGGCTCGTAGTTCAAGGCCCCGAGTTTACAGCTTTCAAACTACGTCACTCAGGGCGACGTTTCTCGAGTGAAATCTGCAGTGCCAGTGATGCCCGAGACAGCAAAGGAAGTGGTTTCGGGAAATAGTGAGAGGCGCGTGCACACGGCACGGGCATCAGAATGCTTCTGCTGCTGTTTCACCAGTGATGGGGAACTTCCTAACCCTGAGCAGGTCCTCAGCCTTGGCTGCACAAACCTGAATGTGGGGCCAGACGCTGTCTTGGACACAGATCCGTTGAAGTCAATTACACCATTTTTTAAGGCGTTGCTCCTAGCTTTACCAGTGGTAAGAATGTGTTCCACCCCTGGAGCAAGTGCAGAATCCGGCACTTGATTCACCCCCGTCCTCCTTCAACTTGAGACTGCCCACTGCATCGATTCCCCCACAGTAACACTCACCAGGAAATGGTGTTAAGTGTTAGGAGGCTGCGGGTCTTTCTTAGAGATTTCTAAATGTTCCTTAAAATGCTGCTACACCTGAACCCTCCAAACTAAGGATATGCAAAAGTGTTTGCAAAGCATAGTTAACATTTTAAAGACTATAAACATTATAAAGCATGATTCTTTTTTTCCTCAAAGATTTTTTTTTTGAGGAGGGAGAGAAACATGGATCAGCTGCTTCCTGCACGGTCCTCAACTGAGGACAACCTGGCTCCCAACCCAGGCACGTGCCCCGAGGGGCATCAAACAGGCAGCCTTTCGGTTCGCAGGCACTCAACCTATTGAGCCACACCAGCCAGGGCGTGTGATTCCATTTGAGAAAAATATTTGAAAGCTACCTATAAATTGGTAGGCTAACTGGTATGTGTTAAATACTAAAATACTGACCGGTTTACTTTTTTTGATATGCTGTATGCAGCACACTCAAGATACTTGATCTCCTTTAAGGAAAACAAACATCTAGAGGCCCATTAAGTACAACTGCCCTAAATCAGGGCTGTTTCAATCAGATTTATTAAGTGACATAACTTTAACACGTTTAAGCACTGCTATCACATTAAGCACACTACCCCGACCAGTGTGGCTCAGTTGGTTAGGCACCGCTTGGCAAAGCGAAAGGTCACTACCAGTTTGACTCTCGCTCAGGGCACAGGCCAGGGTTTCAAGTTCAGTCCTCTGAAGTGCATACAAGGCAACAGATCAATGTTTCTCTCTCACATAGGTGTTTCTCTCCCTTCCCTTCTAAAAATAAAAAAAAAAATTAAAAAAACACAAAAAAACCTTGAACACCAGGCACGTTTTATCTACTATATATATGTCAAGAACCCTAAATTAAAAAGTTTGCTATTGGAAAAATCTCCATTATCTTTCAAGATTTCATTAGTATTTAAATAATTCTCAAGCTTAAAGTAATTATTACATTGTAACCATTTTATCCGGATCTGAATAGAACACAATCTTCCT